AGTGTGTGGACAGGTGTCTTTTATACAGGTAACAAGTTCAAACAGGTGCAATTAATACAGGCAACAAAACAGAACAAGGAGGGCTTCTTAAAGACAAACTAACAGGTTTGTGAGAGCCAGAATTCTTGCTGGTTGGTAGGTGATCAAATACTTATTTCATGCAATAAAATGGAAATAAATTATTTAAAAATCTAACAGTGTGATTTACTGGAATTCTTTTGTAGATTCTGTCTCTCAGTTGAGAGAACTGACCATTCTTTGTAAGTGGGAAAACTTGAAAAATCGGCGGTGTATCAAATACTTATTTGCCCCACTGTAGTTCATTAGCTGAGAGTGGAATTCTCAGATGTAGTTGGCTCGTTGTGGTGATTTTAGACTATTAACGTGATGATGCTGCGCGATCGATCAATCACTTTATTGTTATTGCATACTGTACAACAAAATTTGCTTTTCAGTGGTTTGTGTAAGAACTTCACAAACATACAAATACATACTAAAAAGTAATAGCTAATGAGTTAAATATAAGTAAATTATAATTATAAAACAGACGGTGGTCATGAGGTGTTTCTGTTATTTTGCCCGCCTGGGTTCTGTTCTTTATGAATAGGCGATTAATTAATAGTGGCAAGTGTTGACATAGCATCAAGTCCTTGAACCTCCAACACAGTGAACGTGATGAGTTTGTAAGGTGAACCATAAACCGCTCAAGAGGTAGAGCAGTTGTTCGATTCCCGTTTTCCCTAGTCCACATGTCGAAGTGTCCTTGGGCAAGGCACCGAACCCCAGAGCAGCGCCTTGCAGGGTCAGCACTGCCATCGGTGTGCGAGTTGGTGCAGCAGATGGCTGCCTCGGTGCTGTACCGGAGACGAATTCCTTGTGTGTATAACATACTTGGCCAATAAAGGTGATTATCTTTATCATATATTACTGTGGCTTTTACAACTGTTGATTTGCAGTGGAGCCATCTTGGGTTTTAAATGTGGGGTTGGTGTAGTTCTTCTGACTTTGAGTAGAGATTCTGACTTCAGGGTGTGTTCCAGTTTAAATTTCCAACTGGGAGCTTCCAACGTAATGCAGCATTAGTACTACCTCCTGAGAGGTGCTGACATTTAGTCCCTGGAACGCCCTCCAAAGTGGGCAGAGGGTAGTGAAAACAAATGCAGAACCTGTGACTTCGCTTCGACGCGGTTCAGTAGGCTTCTATGATGGAAAAACCGTGTCTTCTTCCAGAATCAGTGAAGACCAGGTCAACCTGTCAGCATGGAGTCAGAGCTGCTGATTGGCTGGCAGCAGGAGAAGGCGGAGCTTAAACAGGAGGTGTGCCATCTGCAAGAAGAGCTGTCGGAGAGTCGAGCAGAGAGAGAGGAGCTGGAGTCCAGGAGCAGAGCCCTGAATGACAGGGTGAGGAGGGGAAGGAGAGGGCAGGGGGGTCATGTGATCATCAGGGTGGGTTACACCTTTTACATCTCTCTCTCTCCAGCTGTCCCAGTTAGTGTCTCCCTCGCTCGCCCTCTCTCTGCAAGTGGAGGCTGAGCAGAAGCAGTGGAAGAGGAGGGTGAGGGAGGGGAGGGAGAGGGAGGCCAGACAAGCGCTGCTCATTCACCGACTGCAGAACAAGGTGAGGGTGTTGTGACTTTATTAGGAACACCTGTGTCAAGCTAAGTCTGCCTAATCCAACAGTCCTGCAGTAAATCCTCTATGATGGTGATCTTGCTCAGACAAGCACAAGTGAAGCCACCACAAGCTGATCGTCCCCTGATGGCTGGTTGCAGTGTAGGTTCTAAGTAAGTCTGGTTTCTCTCTGAAAACCAGAAAAAGCTTGGCAGCTGTCTCATTCCTACCTGTCATTTACTGTGGGGATTTGCTGGACCTGAATGCCCCATCATAGTGTATGCTCCAGCTAGACTCTGGTTATCTAATATCTGTAAGGTCTGTTTCAAATCTGAAGTTGAATCACTGTGTCCTGTACTCTGAAGAGGGCTGGTCATCACTCTCTATCATTGGTATGTTTTTATTTATACAGCCATTTTGTCTTTGACTCTCTTAATTGAGCTGAGTCTGTTGTAACACTGTGATTGTCCAGTGGTGTCACAGTGTGGAGCGTCTTACCTCACTAATGATCTTTGAAAGCGACATCAGAGCCACATGAATGCAGAGATTGGAGTACTAACTGTAGTGTTATCATTTTGTTGTAGTACTGACAGTACTGTTACTGCAGGTGTTGGAGTACAAAAGTCGATGTCAGTGTTTGGAGCTTCAGCTGCAGGATGGACTCAAACAACTGCTCAGTACCGAGGTCAGACTCAAATACCACTACACTACTCCAACAGCACTGAAGAATTACATTAGCACTGCAGTAATCCAGGTGCTGGTATACAGTTGTGTGTTTGTTTTGTAGCGGAGGATCAGAGACGAACACAGCGACTCTCTGGAGAGCGCCCTCATCAGGCTGGAGGAGGAACAACAGAGGTGTGTGTGTCTGTCGTACCTGTCTTTGTGTGTATGTCTGTGGTTCGGTGTGTCTGTCTCACCTGTCTCTTTCTCTCTGTCTCCAGGTCGGTCAGTCTGGCTGAGACCAATGCTCTCCTCTGTGAGCAGCTCAGCCAATCAGAGCAGGCCAACCAGGCTCTCAGGGAGGACCTCCAGAAGCTGACAGCTGATTGGACGAGAGCTATGGAAGAGGTGGAGCAGAGAGAGTCTGATTGGTTGAGAGAGAAGCAGGTCTGCAGTTTGGTTTTAGTTTAGTTAGTATTTTATTTTGTTGACTTTATCCTTTGACTTGTACCAGTAGTTGGGTACAAGTTGAGGCACTTTAGTATTACTGTTTTATGTTACTCAATACTTGTACTCCACTACACTGCAAAGGGAAATGTACTTTTCACCATCCAGCCATATTTGGTAATACTTTTAAGTTCCTCGTATGTCCTTAATAATCATATGAAAATGTACAGCACTAACTGGGTTATAACAGACTACAATGTAGCTGTAAGTAGAGCTAAGGGCACGTTTAAGGTTTGTAATGTACAGTATTCTGTAGTACAATATTCAAGCTGTGTATTACTATATTGTCATTTATTATCTGCCTTCAGTGACATTGTTAGAAACCGTTTACAGGTTTATATGCTCATTATGCAGGATTATTAACCTAAAGTGTAAAAAAAAAAAAGTGTTTAATCATCAGTAGTGTGTAAATCTTAATTATTTGGGTAAGTGTACTAAACATACTAAGATGTAAATGTACTGAGTCTACAGATACTGCAGTCAGGCTGTACAGTCCTCATACATCACAAATACCCTCTGCTCACTAAAACAAATACTTTGATCCTTTGGTAATAATGCATTTGACTTTTACTTAATTAGTTTTGTGGTGGATTTTGAGATTGAACCACCTTTAGACTGATATTGTGACTTTTCCTTGTGTGTACGTGTGTGTGTGTAGTGTCAGTCCGGTCATGTGGGGCAGCAGCAGGCTCGGTTGCTGTCAGTCTGGAGGTCTGTCGTTGCTCTAAGACAGCACTGCCACAGTGTGAAAACCGCCGCTGACAGGTACGTCCGAGTGGGAATCCAGACTGAAAGCGAGACGTGAGCGGCATGTTGTGTCTTTGTCATGGGAGCAGCTTTCTGTCATGACCAGGCCGGCAGACACATTCTTGACAAATATAGAGTTTATGTTGGCTCATGGCAGACACATTCTGGACAAATATAGAGTTTATGTTGGCTCATCAGGAACAAATCAGCAGAGTGTTTATTGATTTTCCCTGGCTGTCCTCAGGTGGCACTTGAAAGTGAAACCAAACAGCTCAGTTGCATTAGGAGCCTGATCAGTCATAACAGATCCCAGTAAAAAGGGTTTAGTGTGATTTACACATCTGTGTGTTGAAGGAACTCCATTCGGTCTGGGGCTGAGTGTTTGTACTGGAGGCTTTAATGGTTCCACTCACTGTAATATACTGTGTCTGTGGTCCCAGCACCGGTGGCTCATTCGGGGCCCAGAACGACTTTTCTCTAACGTCATGAGTAAGATGCACTAACATGGTGGGTCACATGGTTGAGGGCTGACAACCTCACTGAATTTATTCTGGGTTTAATGTTTTTTTAATGCTGTTACTGGTCTCCCTTGCTTCTGTAAAGCACTTTGATTCGCCTCTGTGTTGAAATGTTCTATAAATAAAGCTGCCTCGCCTTGTTTTAACATGGTGAACATGCTGTAGTCTGACCAGCCTGTGTCTGTCGGCAGGGACCTGTGGCAGCTGCGAGCCCAGTTTTCTCGTCTCTCCTCCTCCCTCCTCTCCAGCTGCGACTCTGTCTCCTCCTGCCTGCGGCTCGGTGCTCCTCAGCCCCTGCTCTCCTCCACTGTGCCTCCCGTTCATCTTCCTTCTGACCTCCCTCCCCTCTCCCTGTCCCCTCCTCTCTCCTCCACACTCATCCGTCCTCCGGACTCCTCACCCACTGAGCCTCCTCTCATCTCCTCCTCCACCCTGGGAACCTTCTCCTTAGGAGAGCTGGAGCACAAAGAGGAGGAGCAGCTAAAGCTGCTCCATGAGAATGAGGTTTCCCAGCTGCAGGAACAGTGAGTCCCTCTTCTTCATGTGTTTCCCACATTTGTTCTGCTGGAGGTTCGGACAGGAAACTTCTCTCTCTCTCTCTCTCTCTATGCTGTTCTTAGGATTGCAGAGCTCTCTTGCTCACTGCAGGCTGAGAAGAATCAGAGGGAGCGAGAGGTGGAGAAACACAGAGAGACAGAGAGAAGCCTGCAATCTGTCAGTCAGGCTGTGGTCAGACTGGTGAGTCAAGCGTAAACCCAAGGTTTGGTTTTTACTGGCCTCTTTTACAAAGTGTGATTTCTTACAGAGAAACAAGAGAGAATGTCACAGTTACCAGTTGAGAGATCTGCGACTGTACAGAGTCCTGCTGTCACGATTTTTGAGCCTAAGGCCGGTGGTTTTTATGTCTGTGTTACTGTACACTAATCCTGTCCAGAGACCAGCAGCACTGGTGAATGTGGTGTCCTTACCGTAATTTTGTGAGTCCAGACCCTGGTCCAGCTCATCACTCTGTGCCATAGAACTCCACTGTTGTCCACCAGCTATTAAATGCCCCCAGTGAGCCACACCGCTGCACTGTGGTGGGCAGGTTTCCTCCTCAGGGAACATGGGAGGCCGTTTGTTTCCAACAACCAGCTCCTTCATGGCCTGCATTAACATCCTGTTAGCGCTTCTCTTTAACAGAAGTCATGTACTGCTCATCAATGCTAAGCTGCTGTCATCAAAACCCTTTTCACATTAAAAGTCTGCCTGTAAGTAGAAGGCTGTCAGACCTTGACATTCAGCTGAATTTATTTACTAAGTGAAGTGAAGGCCTGGTTCTCTGACACTGGCTGAGCTGTTGTAATGTACTGTATATGTTCAATATAGTTTTTTTTTAATGTCATTTGTTTCATTCAGAAAGCTCTGTATCTCTCTGTGCTGCAGTAATGTGATTGTAAGTGGAAGGCTGTCAGACCTTGACATTAAGCTTTGTATCTCTCTGTGCTGCAGTAATGTGAGTTTTACACCAGGAATCAGTGAAGTCTTGATGTTTAAATTTTACCTTTTGATTGTTGTATTATGCTGCAAGCTGAGCACTCCTGATTTCTGTCCTATCTGTCAGTAAAGAGAACTTAGTAAAAGTTACAGCTGCTGTCCTTACACATGAACCAGTCTGAGCTCAGGGAATTGTTTGTTCAGTCCAGAGTCCTGAGTAGCAGCAGCAGCAGTCGGCCTCTGTGTGTGTCCCCAGACGGTGTCCTCAGCCTGGACCTGACCTCTCTGCTGTCGGTCCTCTCTCACACTGAGAGTTCCCTCCAGTGGAGACACGAGGAACTGCAGGTGGGTCACACAACAGGAGTAGTTTCCATTGCAGCTCAGAGGTCATGAAGATGTTAATAAATCTGTTTGTCAGGGGGCAGAGCTATCCCTGCGGTCCCTTGGTGAGGAGAACACGGCTCTGCAGCTCCGAACGAAACAGCTGGAGGATGACAGTCAGCAGCTGCAAGCACACACACAACACGCACAGCTCGAGCTCACACACACTCTGGACATACTGAGCAGGTACACAGTAAACACGAAGGTAGTTGATAAATATAAACAATTTTGTCTCTTATGATCACTGGACACATTCACAGTTTTGACAGTGATCAAAATCTTAAAAGTTCAATTTTTTTTTAAAGCTTTTCTTTAGTATTTTTGCATTTAAACAGTTTTTAATGTTCTGTGACATTACTGTAGTATATTAGTGTTGGTTGTACTGAAAAATCATATCAATTCCTGTACAGAATTTATTTAAATATTTATGTAGGTAATGGTGCAAAGCAGCAGCAATAGGCAAATTGCTCTGTGATCTGAACAAATTGCCTCTGCAGATTTATTGCAGAGCATTGAGCTTGAAGTAACTTACATACTCAACTTTTGTTTTTCTTTTCGCTATTTGGTCGATGAGACAATTGGACACAATATAGTAATTAGCAATAACCATTTCAAAAATGTATTCTGAAAGCCAGATGTACAGACCTGAAGCCTTGAAATTCAGCTTTAAATGGTCTGAGCACCCCTCCTCCAGACTTAAAGACCCCCCTCCACTCTTGTTTCAGCACATGTAGGAGTACTTACTTAGCTTGTTACAAATTATTTCTAACTCTCTCTCGCTCAATAACAGAGCCAGAATCTTTGAACATGCAAATGCTGTTAGTTTCCAAAGGTTAACGGCTGGACACTAGATGTCGACTTCACTGATAGGTCTGTTGTCAGCGAATTTCCCCAGGTCTCATTTTGGACAGTAATTAGTTTTAGATGTAGTTGTGATGTCACAAAATCCTAAAGGTATGTCCAGATGTTAAAGATTTAACTCTGCACAGTGAAGCTCAGACATCACAGTGATCGGACAATAAGAAGAACAGTGTGTACAAAGCTCAGCTGTCAGACCCTCAGGCACAGAAGCCTGAACGTGCCCCGCCTTCAATTAAAGCAGCAACCTCTTCAGATCACTACAGTGTCTCCAGTCTGAGTAAATGGTGAGCCGGCAGTTGCATTAATACATCGGTTAAACTTGAGATAAATGTGTTTGTGTCTCAGGGAGCGCGAGGCAGCGTCCTCACTGCGTCTGCAGGTGGAGGAGGTGCAGAGGAGGGAGGAGGAGGTGACAAGAGAGAACGACAGACTGCGGAGAGACAGAGACAGACAGGAGGAGAGAAACAGACAGCTGGAGACAGAAACACGCAGGCGGTACTCTCTTCTGTTTTTTACAAGTTTTGAAGTCTGAAAATCAGTGCACTGCTCAGACAAAACCTCCAGACACTGATTATTACAACCAGTTGTTTGTGACGTACTCTGAGTGGGTTTGTTTCTCTGGAGAACCTTCTTCACCTATTAATGAACCGCTGCTGGAACTGCGGTTTCATCTGTCAGTTGCTGAACCATGTTGAACTTCTGTCTGGTTGTAGACTAGAGACTGAGCTGTTGGAGAACGTGCAGCTGACAGAGAGAGAAACTCTCCACCGCATGGAGATCCAGACTCTGAAGGTAATAGGTCAGTTCACTACAGCTAGCTACTGCTCTGGTTTACCTCTGAGTGACAGAAGGAGTTTTCCTTTTTAGTTCTTCCCTAAAATGTCTGGAATCATCTGAAATTTAGGCCAAAAAATGTTTAAACGTCATAAATATGATTTTGATGTATTTTAAAAGTGACTGATCATGTTCAGGTTAAGCTGACGTTACTTTTGTAATGCCACATTACCTTCAGTCGTGCCTTTATGTGTGTTTGTTTAAATTCTGAGGAGACACAGCAGCACTACCTCTGCTGTGTTGGCTCCACGTTGTAGTTCTTTCTCTCATCAGGCATATTATCGGTGAACATTCAGCGAGTGTGTTGTGTTGTATGAGGTAACACAGTGAGTCTTCCATCAGGGGCTCTTTGTTTTACTGTCTTTGACCTAATATGGGGACTGCAGGTTTAATGAGACCTGGACTGAAAACATTCAGTGTTTGGTTGAAACCTGTTACACATCAAATTCAAAGCTACACCTGGATGTGGAACAGCATTCAAAGGGATCTAAAAAGGGTCCCAACAGTTGTAAATGAAAGCTTGATGAAAGCTGCAGGAACCCTGGGAATAGATTTGCCCAAAGCAAAATCTATATTTTAGTCTCTGTCCTCCTGTAGGGGGCGGTGGAGAGAGAGCAGCTAGACAAACAGAGAGCTGAAGAAGAGGCTGCTGATGCCAGAGACGCCCTGCAGAAGGTACAGACTAGGGCGGCATTAAGTGTCTTCACATCTGACATGACATTGTTCAGGGGGATGTAACTTGAGAGCTGTGACCACAGTGAAACACCTGAACAACTTAACAGTTTCACCTCTTCTTCTTCGTCCTCTTTTCAGTTAACAAACAACAAAACTGCATCACGGTGAACATCTAGTGAGGAGGGCAACAGACAGCCAGCTGAGAAAATCAGCATTTCATTATCTAAATCAGTTTAACGTCAGCAACTGTTTATGATCAGATACAGTGGGTACGGAAAGTATTCAGACCCCCTTAAATTTTTCACTCTTTGTTATATTGCAGCCATATGCTAAAATCATTTAAGTTCATTTTTTTCCTCATTAATGTACATGTCAAAATGTCAAAAATTCTGTGTTTTTCTGTCAATATGGGGTGCTGTGTGTACATTGAGGGAAAAAAATGAAAAATGATTTCAGCATATGGCTGCAATATAACAAAGAGTGAAAAATTTAAGGGGGTCTGAATACTTTCAATACCCACTGTATATTTATTCCTCTTC